TCAGTGTTAGAAATCGAATTTTTATAAAGATAAATGCGCCTTCATAAATATAACTTAATTCTTTACTAAATAACTTTCTACTGGCAGTTATCGATGTTATTAATGCCTTTAACTACGCTACGCGACTTCTGAAATTTAAAACGTTTTACTCAGTAAAACCAATAAAGACCACAATAAAATAAAGAGGAGGAATAGATCAATAATTAATCTGCCACCAACCGAAATTATATTTGGTACCTCGTCTTAAAACAAAAAAAGTAACTGCGAGCAGGAGTTGTCTGTCTGCTCTGTAAGCTAAAAGTTAATGTAAATTTGCTTCTGTGTATTACGTTGTTTGTGTTTATATAATATATAGTTTTTGTCGATGTCGGTACTTTATGCAGGTGAATGATTAGGTTTACGTTCCGGCTGTTTTATCTTTAGGAGAAGGAACTCGTTGTATAGAAGGTTGGGTTGGATCTTAAGATTTGTTGACTTGGTGGTGAAGGTAAGAAAGAATTCCACGGTCTAGTCAGGAATGTAACTTCAAGTACCCACTTCGTAGCCAGGCTTCTTAATGCGGATGTGCAAGTAATCGTGAGATTAACGTTGGTACTATCGGTGGGTTTTCTGTTTCTCTAGAAGGGATGTCTCATTCCTTTAACCCTTAAATAACACGCTTTAGATCATAAATATCTTCTAATTTTTCAGTCAGTAAGATATCTTGGGGCTGTCGTCATCCCCAGATTTGTGGGTCCCTTCTACGGTTTCAATCTTGAAACCGAGAAGTACCCACTTCGCATCCCCGTTGCCGTTAACACCCTTTGACCAACATTGACTGTCTTTCTGTTGTTAGAGGTTATGCCTTGACCCTTTCGAAATCACTTCCGAGATTTAAGGTCAAGTGCATTTTTCCTCCAGTAACAATTACTCTTTGTTCGTTTATGTCATGCCTATCCTGCTTCGCGCTGACCACGTAGTAGAAACATATTTTACAATCTTGGCCACAGAAACTGGATTATTAGTATGGCACAGCGCATTTGATCGTCATTGAAGGTAGACGCACCTTTCTGTATGAAAATAACTGAAGGAGTTAAATTTAATGTGGACCATTAGTAGCAGTGGCACGTATGTCAGTAAAGACTTCACTGCAATACCCAGTTAGTTAAATCCAGCTTTAGAGATTAATTTAATAAATATTAATTAATTTTACGCCTACACGCAGATAATACCATTGAGCTGTAAATGCACGGTGTTATTACAAAGATCGCCAATCGTGATAACGAAGTCCGTTGTTTCTTTGATTGGAGAGAGATTGGTTATATCAAGGTAGTCATATCCATTAATTATAAGTTTGGAAATGTCAAATAACTATAACAGACTTTATTTTTCTTATCGCACTAGATAGGTAAAACATTTTTTAAACCTTCCTGATTCCTTTTTCCTTGTTTTAATGTAATTGGTAATATCTAAAAACCGTGTGTAAAAACAGCCTGTTACACTCCTATTTCATCTATTCTAATTTTGTTAATTAAAACGGGAATGAAATTTTATAAAAAAACTTTATGCAGTTGTACACATAGGTTAACCAGCGTATAGGAGAAAATTGACACTCATATTGCTGTAAATAGTCTATTGGGCAAAATATTACAAAGTTCTTGACTTACAGCAGATTGTAAATATGATGCTTTTGACATCGATTAGAATGGAGAAAACTACGCAATAAGGAGCTTCATAATTTTGTACTCTTCGCCGGATATCAAGTGAAGGAGAATAAGGTGGCGAGGACGGATGTGATATATTGGTACAAAATTTTGTTTTGAAAGCCGTCTTTAGGAAAGAGACCAGGCAGAACACCTAAACGTAGATGGGAGGTTAATATTAAAACAGTTTGTGGGGCTTAAGGGGGCTGTTGTGAATACGGTAATAATCTTTTTGGTTTCATAAAAGGCGATAAATTTCTTGACTAGCCACGTGTGCTGTTTAACTTCTCGAAGAAGGATTGGAATTCTGCATGGATTTGGTTTGTCAGTGGACCAAAGCCGACAGCAGAATGCCTTCTCTCTTTACTCACTCGCCGTCATGGTGTATTGACACTTACTTCATACTCGAAGCGTTCTGGGTTTAAGTCTCGGCTTTGTCTAGGGTCTTCATACGTTTACTGCGTTTGTCAGTCAAATGTTTAATAGTACTTTGAAGTAGACCCTAGCTTCTTCCTCATATGTCGTTATCACTTCATCATTGTTACTGAAACTAACATTTGGCTATTTTTTCAACTGTACGTTTAATGTAAAGTTAAAATTGTTCCGTATCTTATCAACAGACCATGGAGGCGTATAGGGTTGTGGAGGAGAAGCTGAACAAAGGTATACGATACTATGAAGTCCTCAGATCCTCCTCACCCCGTTGTACCCGAAACCCGTAAATAATAGGTCGGGTGGAACCCAGAGCGTTTTCATTGAAATAAAATTGCCTCTTCCGGGAATCAAACCAGTTTTGACCATCACGTATACTGCTGTTTTATTGACTGAGGTATTCCGGCTTGGGAGTAATTGGAAAGCTTCATTAAATACGTTTTCAAACTTGTCTTTGGTTTACGGGCTGCTTTCAAGCCACGCATCTCGCAGTATTTGCTGGCGCGTATAACGCGGTGGCACTCTGAATTACACGCATATTTTTACGTCACACTGAAAACGGTACAGATGGAGAAGAAGCTGGAAATACTTGCGTATTTCAGAACAAAGAAAAGTGGTGCGGGCTGCGCATGTATATTATGCAAATCAAGTGGGAGAAGGAAATAAACAAAGAAATGACGACTTTTCAGTGTCTTTGATGGATCCCTATTGTACAAAGTTGCAGCTTCTGTTTTATTTAAAAATATAAAAGCCAGTTCGTAGTAAGAAAGCAATTACTTAACGATATATGAAGCACGAGGAAGGAAGTTAGCTGTTCTAGATTAAACTAGGACACACGTCGGTGTATGACAAATAGGTAATTTCTTATTCGTGTCAAATTGTAATTACTTTATGTTTGGCATAATCAATGTATAACTTATTATGTCGGTTGTGCGCTGTGACGCCGTGTGGCCTTTTCAGGCCGTTAGCAACGTTTTGGATGAACGAATCGCCTCCATTTTTGGAAATGAACACTTCAGAGGCTGAACGTATCGTCTCAATGTTTGGAGGTGATGCGTTTTGCCGAAACGTCGGTAATCGTATACAAAAGTACTGAACTTCTCAATCCAGAATTCCGCATTTGACATCTTCATTGCTGTGGAACCTCAGACACGATTTCTTCTGTAAACGAATAGGAATATTATTCTCATATAAGATTAAGAATAATCAAGATCCTTGGGGCATCCCATATAAATTGTAACTGGCTCAGTAATAATTTCCTCTGGCATTGTCATATATGGCGATATTTTTTTAAAGTTTTTCAATTGTATTTGTTAAATTCCCATTAAGGCTACATTACAAATTTTCCCACAATACATCTCTGTTCACACTGTAATAGCCTATGCCGTTTATTGTAACGTACTAAGAGTATATACGCTTACAGATTTATCTTTCTTCTAAAAAACATATTTCGAAGAATTTTTTTTTCAAAATACATTTTAAAAGACAACGCATTCGTGATGCTATGTCATTTTCTACAGCCTCATAGGCATTCGTCTAAACGTTTTATCTTTTTGTTTTCGAATAGCACTTATAGACCTATTTGTAGTTTTTATGTTGCATACGATACCACTGTAGTCGCTAGCATTTCAAAATCTGTAAGCATTATTTTGAAGTACTTTAAATTTGAGCTGCCGATGTGATGCAGTGAAACTGGTCATTCTTATTTTATATTTGCTTGGAAATCTGTATTTTTCACTGGAACGGAAGTTGGTGGACGTGTACTCTGGCACACAGGAGAAAATAAAACCAAAGAAAATTACTTGCAGAACATTAATATTGCCTCTTAGGTTACAATGTCGTTACCCATATTCGTGTTAACTGTGCACTTTTTTATTACACTGGCAACACAACCTCAAACCTCAGAAAAAAGAACTGATGTACTGTAGTAATTATCTTTTTGTTTACACTTTGGAACATGGTTTCGCTTAAAATTACCGTAGAAGGCAGTTGAACCTGTGTTTGCTTATAGCAGTTGGAACGTTAAAGCAAAATTGTGTTAATAAAATGCCCAACAAATTTTCGTTCTAAAGTGACCACTGCTCTGTATATAATTTTACCCGTTGTTTCGTGTGGATGTCAGACTTGGTCTCCCACGGGAAGAACATAGATTGAGGATGTTTGAGGACAAGTGTATACAGGACGGCTAAGATCTGGTGTTTTAGATTTCCAGTAGCTGTACAAGCACATAAATAACATAGGACTTGAGAATTTGTACTTTATGTTCTATATGGATTCGGCGTGCGTATCAATGTCTCTTTTCCAAATGTAAATAATGAAGTTTGATAGTGTTGCGGTGTACACGTTAAAATGCCAACAGAAATACAATGGAAAATCGAATTTTTAATCACATTATGGTTGTGTCATTTGCTCCTGTATATTGTCCTTTTCCCTTTCCCGAAATTCCGATAACATCCCATCTTTAATTAATGGACCATGTTTGAGTGGAAAATAGGCAGGTTTTCAATATTTTAACTCAAATATGTAATTGGTGTACAGTCAATTTTTTTAGCTTAGATTAACGTGGAATTAATTTACAGTACCACGTACTAGAGCTTACTCTTTCGTAGTTTCATGTTATGTTAAAAATTGACAGTGGTGTAATGAAGCGATACATGTATGAACTATTAAATGTTTTACGGTGAAGTTTGAACAAAATTAATATTAGAGCATATTTAGCAGTCATTAAATATCTATTACCAGGTCTTAGAATTCATGTTATTTTCTAATGCAGTCTTCCATTTTGCATCGCCTTGTGGACTTGCAGGTGCTTTGTTTATGATCTTACATGGAAATTATTAATTATATTTAGTTCCGGATGGTGTCCATATGTTTTTTATTTATTACCTTGTAATGGCCTAGTTCAGTGACTAAACAGCTGAGAATCGCTTCGCGCCCCACAGGTACTGTTACATTCTTGATGGGTTCGTTGAAATCTGGGTCCACGTCACTGGTCAGAGCGTGCGAATGAGGAGGAACTGCAGAGCCCAGGTCGAAGCCGTGATCTGTAAGAATAGAACAATAATAAAGTAATCGCCATTCTATACAACTGAATGGGCTGGATACAATAACACGTTTGTGAGGAGCGATACTTTTTAAAAATGTTGTAGTATTAACTCCCGCTTTATTTTTTGATTTCCCTGCAGACATAGTTCAGAAAACCTGTAACTGGCGTGGTTATGAGGGCCTCTTTAAACGTGACATGACGTGTTGCAGCGTCGAGTTTTACGAAAACAATTCGAACGAAATAGAATTGCCCGGTTGTTTTTGTTCGTCAGTGAATGATCCGTGGTCTGTTTCGACCAGCGTGAGGCGAGTGTTGTCGATGTTGAGAAAATTCCAGCCTGTTTCTGCAGTGTTAGAAATATCTGCTGATTGATGTTCAGTATAAATTACAAACCCCTCATTCCTTAACACGTTAACTTGCTGCAGTGTTATGTTAACATAAAACGCCATTCCGTACGTCTTAGTGTGTGATTTTACGTGGCTAGATACTGAACCAAATCGTTTACGCCTCAGAGCTGTGGAGTGTGAGAGGAAACACTTTGTGCAAGAAGAAATCGACCGCCACTGGCCTCACTTTAATGTGTACAAACTCCATTTACGTACACTTAAGATCCCTTATGAACTGTTCAGATCTTGTTTACAGACACTTCAACTAGGTATTTCATGAAATGTCGTTAATGAAGTTGGCTTTCGGTTTGTCCGTGCAGACATATTTTACATGCGTCAGCTAGTTTCAGAATGGCGTTTCTGTGTTAAGCGTCCACAGGGACAGCACGGTGGTGCCATCTGCATTGAGTTTTTGAGAAGATGGGGTAGCTCAGTAATAGAATCTAGTTCGACTTTCTGGGTACGAAGGAACCCCCAGGGAAATCTAGACTTGCCCTAAGCATGTCGACAGAGTTGATCATTCGTTCTGGTGATGCTAATCAACACCTGATCCTCTCTATGGTTTAAGAGAAGAACGACTTGAAATAGTTCTGACCTAGCATACATATCCACAAAAGTACAGGTGAGCGGAGCTCAGACACAAGTGTTTTGTTGTAGATATTATGAACAGGCAACCTAGTATACATTTTAGGAACAAAATGTTACCTTGGTAGTAGTAAATTTTCCGTACATTACTTTGGAGAATATTATTGAACGTACATAAAGGATATTATTAAATCGAATCCTAGAGAACAAGTTTTAAGGGAGTAAATTGTGCTGAACAGACTCATTACAGTTTATACCTGCTGCACAGGGAGAAACCCTTGAGAAATATAGTTTTCGTAAACACGTGCCCAGCCTTATTAATATACTTCTGGCTGAAATCTATAATTATTTACGAGACAGTTATGATACATCACGAATAATCAGTTACTTACAGGGTAGATCGTTTAATTTTATTATAGTAGTTTTTTCTACAGGCCTACTGATAATAATTTCATATTACTCTTTTCGTCTGTGTTCTGTTTGTTATGAAACTACTTCATGTCTCGACGCTTTCTTAGGTTATAAACGCCGATTGGGAGGATTATTCTGAATTATAAAGCGAGAAATACATGAAAAGAATCGGTTGTGACGAGTTGTAAAGTATTATTTTGCCTTAGTTTAGGAGACGAACATAAATCTCCAGAGTATTTTCTAACCTAGAACCTCTGGAATAGGAATTAGAAGTGCTAATTACTCCATAAGAATTTTTCTTTCAAGAAACAGTCTCGTCTGATTTTCATTAATGCACTTAATATTTCACTGCGTTGCATGCTAAAGTTTAATTAATTTATCATATAGGTGAAGCAGACGCAGGATTGTTTATGAAGTTAATATAGTTAAATTATTAACTTCAATTGATTTAATGTTGACGTATCTTAATAAGGTTAAACTTGCCAGTGTACCTTGGGCATGTCTGACTTAATTTTATCTTCGGATGTTATTAGTATTGGTTGGGGCAATTATAGGGCGGCTGTAGTTACTGAGAATAATTTAGAATGTTCTGTTGCAGTGTTTTTTTCCCGGGGAAACTTAGTAAAACAACAAAAATGTCAGGCTATATAGTCATGCTATGACGTAAATTCGTATCCGGTCCTCTCGAATTCGAAGCTATGCATACGACACGTGTTAACCTGTGACGAAAATTGAGCTGGAGTCGCTTCAGGGGACTGTTAACGAGTAATAATTCTGATACAGACATCTCTTGTTGCAAACAGCGACTTTTGAGCGTATGTTTATTTGTGAGTGTGGATTTTGAATTTGAGAGGGCAGAAGTTTGCCGTAGCTTATTTTACGTCGCTGATTCACAGAAAACTGAGGAACGTATGAAAGTGATTGTGTAAGAAACAGAACCCCTTCTTTTTTGAGCAGAAACGTTGTTAATATTCTAAGAAGTGGGGCGGTATTCGGAATTGTCGATGGAGCTTTAATAAATTCTGTTCAGGCTCTGTTAACAAGGGCTGCTACTGTTCAGTAGAAGTGGCGAACAGAAGATTAAAGCATGCAAAATTTTCCTTGAAAGCTGAGGGCTTAATAATCCCACTGCAAAAAAGTTAGAAGTATTGTCTGCCATTACTTTTTACGCAGTCTTGTGAGAGACTTTTAAGCGAGAAGGGCCGATTGAATTAAAGTACTAAGCTAGGAATGTGCATGCCCATCTGAGAATACGTAACGGAATAAAATATAGTTATTTCAAATTTGTTTTTTCTTGTAGATGTATTAAGGGATTATATTTCTGCCACTTGTTTAATGTACAATTCAGTATAAATATGTTAGGTATGTGAAAGTAAAATAATCTTCAAAACTGCCTTTTTCCTTGAGACCCATCCTTTCCCACATCAAATACGAGCATAAAGTACAAGGATGTCTGAGAAATAAAAGTAATATATCTCACAAAGAAAAAGATTCCAAAGAAATAGGCGTGTCTTATCATTACGTCACAGAAACGACCCATCTTTTGTGGATTTATCTGACTGTAAATATTTTCAGTGACAGATCTAAGACACAATCGTAGTTTTAACGTCCGAGAATTCTATACAGAATTTTCAAAGGAAAGATGCCAAGCTTCAAAATAAAACATTGTTTCTGTAACTGATTCAGTTTTAAAGAATTTTACGCTTCAGTAAATCTGAATTTGTGTTTTATTTTGTTATAAAGCTGCTTTACTGAATCAAAGTTGTGTAATTTCTAAATGACTGCAATACCGTTAGAGGAGAATGAAGATATGTTTTACCTTGAAATAAGTTACATAATGTGGTACAGCAATTGACCTTGAGGAATTAACTCCCGAAACGACGTGTATGAGCGATATATAATACCTCAGACAGTCTACAATATCCAACGTGATAGGCAAATAGCTGCTTATGTTAAATGCGCCTCTGACAAAAAAAAAGTGTTTAACAAAATCATGTTCTCATTGTGTACTTAGTAACCCTGAAAGACGACGTTGCAGAAGTACTTTTTAGTCAAGTCAGATACTCAGTTGGTATACTGGATCATCGGACCACACTTCGCATACTCCAGACTGTGTTTACAATTCGACGTTACTAACGCAGTGAATTCCACAGAGATTGGGCTTAATGTAGTTAATAGATGCACAGTTATACGAAACTAAACATTAGTCCCAAATCGAAAATGGTGTTTGCTAGCATTGAGGTTGTACCAACTGTTCAGAGCCTCATTATGGGATAGCGCCATCAAACACGACGACCACATGACGGCAATGATTAGTGCCTACGGACTGTGGGATCGCTCAGGGGGAGGGGACAGGCACTATTAGCAAGAGAGACGCCTAATACTGGCTTCGCAGCCTTAGCAGTAGCGGTATTCCGCCATTTCCAGGGCTTACGACTCCATCTGATAGAAGCAAGGAGATTGTAAGGGAGTGGCTATAACCTTGCTTTCAGGCTGTAATATTTTCTTAGAACATTTTTTGGCGCTGTTATCCCAAGCTTTAGATCCTGTGTTATTGGTTGTGCTGTAAAATTTCCGTGCCTCGATTTTTTATTCGCATTCCGATTATTTAGGTATTTTTACTAGACGCAAAATATCTGCGGGCCTGAGCTACGTAACAATAAGATGAGAATAGAATTGGAAAGAGGGTAACAAGACCCCGTGTTAGAATCTATGTGGTGAGGGTTTTCGTGGTTCTCTTCAGTCCCTGCAGTAAAGTTGATATCGTGTTTTAAAATAGGCCAAGACCTTTCCCTTCCAGTCTCCTTTCATTTGGCCAGTCATTTTACTACCAGACTCTATATAATATTCGGTAGCGAGAGCGTCCAATCGACATTCGGTTCGACGACTTACAAGGGGAATCGTTCCATTACAAGGCATGCAAATACACTTTCGATAAAGACGCTCATGTATTCAACCAGAAATGACAGCGACAGAAAGGTTGATGTTGTTTAGATATCTGTAAGTACATTAATTTTATGTAGATTTTTGCCACCTAATTTTATTTTGAAAGTTTCGTGTGTGTGTCGCAGTTTTTAACTTTTTTATTTCGTACTTTTCTTCGATCTGGATGTTCGACAACCCTAAAACAAATCAAATCATTGATCATGATGTAGAGCCAGTTTAATCCAGTGGACATAACAAGAGCAAATTTAATTCTTCTATTTCCGTCACACAAGTGCCGCTTTGTAACTTTCTATAGAGATAATAATTCTTTTAAAGACACATCGTTCAGGTAATTCGCGTATGTTACGAGCTTGCATTCGCTTTAAGTAATTACCATCTGCTTCAGCTTCTGATTGCGCTGTAATGCTGGTAGCGAATAACATCATGCCATAAATTAATTGCTTGCAGTCAGCAGACATAACAGGTTAGCTGGAGAAATGACAGTCATACGCTGGACTTCATCCATATTGGGATAAATAGCATTGAGATGATAATGATAATGCTTAAATGCTTTACTTGTACCAACTGTAATATCCTCATAACTATCTGGTAAGCCATTCACATTGCAACGGGATCTGTGATGCAGTGCAGTTTCATTTGGTTAAATTCGCCGTGATATTGCTGTGACTTA